CACTTGATTTTTAATCTCGTTGAGTTGTTGTAAAATGTGTTTGATCGAGTCCTCAGTAGATGCTGGTTTAGTTTTCAGTGTTTTTAGATCCGAAGACAGTTTGGAGGATAGATTTGCAATTTGCTTTGCTAACTTTTGCACCTCTTCGCCGATTTTGTCCGTAACCGCTTGAATATGATTTTCGCAGGATAGTTCTACTTCTTTTGCTTGGTTTTTACGCTTTTGTTCTAAATCTTTTAACTCTATCGTGCGTTCACTTATTTCTATGGAGTTAGAGGAAATATGTCTTTCAATATTCTTGTTAAAGTCGCGTTGTTCTTTGATAAAGGCCTCGAACTTTTCATAACGGTCATTGTGATCACTTGTTGGTTTCAAATTCAACACTGGTTCAGTAATCTCAGCACTTCCACTGTTAGGCGTGACTTCGATCAGAGTATCTTGAGATTTGGTTCCTTTTTCGACAATATTCTGAAGCTTTTTTACATACTGATCTTTTTGTGAGCCTTGCACTTGTAAAGTTTTTGTCGAGGAGTAGAAGTTAACGGTTACCGATTCAAACTTTAACACCTCTGTGTTACTGTTGGAGTTTACGCCCACTAAATTATTCTCATCTCCTCCTTCCAGTTCAGCGATCCAGAATTCTCGTAAGGTTTTTAACTCACTGTTCCATTTAAATGAATTCTTTTGAGGGTTAAAAAACAAATGTGGATTGATTTCAGTCGGAGCAATATCTGTCGTTGCCGCCGCCATGATGGTCAATCATATCTTGACCCACTCAGCCTGCCAGTGTGACGTCATATAGTAACGGGAAAGAGCCTCGGGTCGCTTTTGCAAATTAGCAAGGGATACCACGGTTATTAGGACGAGCGAGGTCGAGGAAAAGCTAAGAAACTAGCAAATATCGCTAATTTGATCGTAAGTGTGTGAGCTTTAGGAGGTTCCATTCACAGATCACACATGTTTATATTTCATTTATTCTTTTGCTAATTAAACCGACCTAACTTCATATCAATCCTTTCGAGTGTGGGCCTCTGTTGATTTCCTAATTCACCACCATATTCAGTAAAGCTAGTTTGATGTATTATCTACATCGATCGGCTCGTTGAACCGGAAATAATGCGAAATAGCTTTGAAATACGCGCTTAAGCTAATTTTCCTCAAATGTATATTTGAATTAATGATAAATACAGCTTAACCAGCTTCAAAAAGCGTCTATGCAGAGAAAAATGGTTTTGAGATAACGAAATTAATTTTTCAAAACATGTATGTGTGGCAGTGTGGTGCAGCGGTCAAGGAGTTGCTTGCAGCTGCAGATGAACCGGGTTCGACTCCGGCGACACCGCATTTTCTGTTTCTTTGTATCCTTTTTTTCTTTTTTTTTTCTGTGTAGTCTTTGTTTTTTTAGCCCGATTTTTCCTGTTGGCCTGTTTTTCTTTATTTGTAATGCTAACCCTGCTTATCATGCACTTGGATCAATATATATTTTAAGCTTTAGTACGGATTTATATTTGGGAAAAGGGACTAAACTAGTACACCACAAACTTTTCTAACTTACACCCAACAACCACTGGCGAAATTTAACTTGCCTCTTGTTCATCGTCTTAACCATAACAATATTATTACCCTAAAATCTCCACTGGTTTCATCCCAAAACAATAATCAAACGAAGCCTTTTATTGGTGTCTGGGGTTTAGTTACAGAATTACAGGTGTATGTCCAGTACAGTATATTAAAATGCAGTAAAGCAACAAGATTCAGTGCTCAGTCTCTCACAAATACCCGTCATTTATCTTCTTCTTTCAACGATACCAGCTAAGCGAACTTTGAAAGCATTGATATGGGGTTCCACTAGTTCTGAAGAGCTGAAAGTACGCACGATGTAAAGTATAATAGCG